TCAAAGAACTCCCTCCATGCCTCTCTCATCCTCTTTACTGAATCTATGCCCACACCATGATTCACTACTTGGAAGAATCCCCAGTTCTTGCATGCTTCACCGATTGCTTCTAGCACCGCTTTGCGATGCTCAGGGATGTCAGAGAAGCATGCAAGATCAATGATAGGGATGCTAAGATCAAGACAATTCATGCTAGTTATGCTACCACAAGGACGCTCAGATGGAGGTTTTATGTATTGTTGCGACAAGGCACACACCCGAGTTTGAAAGGATTTGTACAGTACAATGGGTTCTCGCCCAGAATGGTTGTTGATAGTTGCCATGATGAAAAGTGATGGTTTCTTTGATCTGGTTGTATATGGACATGAATCAGTGGGGGCATATATATAGAGAGAAATTGTTTGATATATGATAGCGTGCATTAACATGGCATTTATGTGCACTTCAAAGAATCTATATCTATATTCTATATTCTATATTGTATATTCTATATTCTATATTCTATATTCTATATTTCTATATCTATATCTATATCTATATCTATATCTATATCTATATCTATATCTATATCTATATCTATATATCTTATATTCTCAAACCCCACTAGCAATTTATCTTGCTTTGCAAAGTGTCCACATCAGCATCCAATAGAACATCCCACTAGCACATACAACTATCTCGCTATGCGAAGTGTCCACATCAGCACCCACTAACACTTCCAACAGACACATGCCATTATGTCTTCATTCGAGCTATTCATATTACCAAACCAACATCATTTACTAACATATTCTCAAACCCCACTAGTAATTTTTCTTGCCATGCAAAGTGTCCACATCAGCATCTACTAGAACATCCCACTAACACATGCAACTATCTTGACATGCAAAGTGTCCACATCAGCACCCACTAACACATCCAACTAACACATGCCATTATGTCTTCATTCAAGCTATTTATATTACCAAACCAACATCATTTACTAACATATATTTAGTTGTCCATATCAGAATGCTAAAAACTCATCCACTAACAGGTATTATGATATTTATTCATTCATATTAGTAAATATAAATAGTATAATTTCACCTGCGATTTCCGCAGCAACGCGTGGGGCGTTCTAGTATATAGGAAGGATATTCATGCATGTTGTGCAAGCAAGCCAAAGCATTCACGCCAATCTTTAAAATGGAAATATTTGCTATCTTAACCAACGGAGGTAAAAACACAACAACGAAACCTATTAGTCTCCCAAGAAAGTTAGGGTAAGATAGAGCTGAAATCCAACATAAACCATCATCAGAAAAGGAAATTAAAAAAAAAGAAAAAGGACTATATATATTAGGAGATGTAAAGACTATTCATGGTTTATTAGGTACGTTGATTTCTTATTTCCATGAATTTGTGTCTAGGGACAAATCTCTAGGCATATTCCAGACTTCTCTTAAACCTTTTTTTATCAACTCCTCTTAATGACAAACTTTTCATATATGTTAAACAAATATAAGCTATAATATTTTTTTGAGCAGGATATAAGCTATAATATTATTGTTGCTGTTTCAAAACTAATGAAAAAAAATTAAATTGTTGAATCAAATGTGTCCTAGCTTGTCGGGAATCATATATATGGATACACACAACAGCATGTCAATCAGCAAAAAAAAGTATCATATTGCACTATATGTTTGTAGTCTATATTATGACCTTAATGAAGCTTTAGTGCTCAAGATGGTATATGTAGGCTTAACTTGAAGTGATGATGTGGACATTCTTGATTACAAATCACTATAGACATGTGATGAAATGACCATTTCGTACAATGCTTGGACTGATACAATTCAATTGATAGGGATGTCAAACTTGACTGTTACCAGATATTATGATCAAGAATGGATTACATTTTCAAGTACTTGATTTCTTCATATCCACAGACCAACTAATTGATTGAACCTTTTAATGCTAACATATATATTACCAAATAATATATACAAGAGCATAGCGGACATGTACATGTGCTTATCTCTCTCTCTGAAGCTTTTTGATATGTAAAGAATAAAGTCTCAATTTTTCAGCAACAAACCGGAACGTACCCTTTACTTTGTTTGTTGAGATTGGAAGTTAGCATGAGCATATAATTAATGGTGTAACTGATTGGGTGCTAGCTAGAGATCATGAAGTAATGAATACAAGATTGTTGCATCAATTCTAAAGCCAGTTACCTATTTCACATAAGGAGCCATACACAGAAGTACACAACCTAGAGAAAAATATAGAATACTAAGGAAAACGCAATGTTGATGGACCCTCAAGTTCTTTTTTTTACATAACACTGCTACTACACTACCGGACTCAGTGAATTTGCCGAGTGCTAGGGGCACTGGCAAAGCCCAATTTGCACTCGGCAAAGGCTTTGCCGAGTGCTGCACTCGGCAAAGAGCACACGGCAAAAAAAGAGTCGGCAAAGACGTCTTTGCCGAGTGTCTTTTATCGGGCACTCGGCAAAGCCGACACTCGGCAAAGTTGGAACCGAAAAAAAACCCGAAAAAAATGGGAATTTTTACCCAAAAAAAATGGAATTTTTTTTAATTGGTGGATGGAGGCCCCCACCGGTCAGCGCCCATCCATCTCCGGCTTTTTTCGCGTAAATTTCACGGCTACGCGGCCGACGGGATTCGAACCTAAGACCTCTCGCTGCGCACAAATCTCCTCTACCACTACACCACACTGTCACTTGTGTCTAGATTCCGTTTTAGTTCCCAATATATTATACTAAACCGAGTGTAAATTGCTTATTTGAGACCCTAAATGAATTCAAATCAAAAAGTGGTCAACTACAAAGTTTCATAACTTTTTGAGATCTACAATTTTCATTTAGTAAGTTTTTCCATCCGAGGTCGTTTGAAAAATTTGAATTTTAAATTTGAGAGATTCAAACGTAGTTTTGCATGATAAGATGATTTCAAATCAAAAAGTTGTCAACTACATAGTTTCATAACTTTTGGAGATCTACAATTTTCATTTAGAAAGTTTTTTCATCCCAGGTCGTTTGAAAAATTCAAATTTTCAAATTTTCAAATTCAAACGTCGTTTTTGCATGAAAAATGATTTCAAATCAAAATGTTGGCAACTACAAAATTTCATAACTTCTCAAGATCTACAAAGTTTATTTTGGTCATTTGTTTATCCGACATAGTGGTAGTAACATTGTTCACAAATCATATATATCTCTCTTCTATTTTCATGAAATTAATATGAGAGATGTATATTTTATGAACAACGTTATTGTCGCTTTGTCAAATAAAGAAATGACCAAAATAAACTTTGTAGATCTTGAGAAGTTATACAACTTTGTAGTTGAAAAGTTTTTCATTTGAATTCATTTAGGGCCTCAAAAATTGCTTCGAAAAAATGATTTGCCGAGGGCAAAAAAAAATGCACACGGCAAAAAGCTTCTTTGCCGAGTGCCAAAACAAAGGCACTCGGCAAAATACATCTTTGCCGAGTGCCAGAAAAAAACACTCGGCAAAGACGTATTTTGCCGTGTGTTTTTGTTTGCCGAGTGTATTTTATTTGGTACTCGGCAAACACGGTCTTTGCCGAGTGCCCGATAAAATACACTCGACAAAGCCTCGGCACTCGGCAAATCGCCGGTTTCCGGTAGTGCTAGTTTAGCAGCAATTGCTTTCTTCGCACAAAAAAAATTAAATGCTTGCCACCACTGTCACAAAGAGTCTGCAAAAGCTGGTAACGCATCCCTAACTTGCATCTGTTCATAGGATTAGACAGGGCAAATAAGAAAACTGATGATCGACTGCACGTGGTCGAAATCAAGGTCAAGCCACTTGCAGTAATGATATGTATGTACAGCAACACATTATCGAAGTTAATTGTAGACGACTATATGTAATATATAATAGTCACAGGAGAAGAAAAAATGGTAGTACGTACTATCCTGCATTGCTACCCCTACTATACCCAACGTGCTATATATCGATTCATGCATATTGCAATTGCATGGCGGTCCGGTGGCAGGGCGACAGCAAGTCTCTGTGACTCGAGACTGATTTGCATGGCAAGCAAGTGGGCGGAGCACCATCTTCTCATCTTGCACGCAAGTGTGATGCGAAAACGATACATATATTTCCATTCCGAAGCAGCATCTAATCTAATCTAATGTTGTTAGTAATCCATCCGCTACTGCTACATAGACAAACGAGTCCCTGTGTTTCATCAATGCGCACGTTGTGCATTGAAAAGAAAGCGAGGCCTGGAAAAAAATATCCATCCATCGAATGAATGGCCATGTAGATTTTCGACACATGCATGTGTTTTTCTCTTTTTGATGCGACGTGCGATGCCTTCAAAAACGCTAACGTATGGACTTGCGTCATAAACTTGTAGCGACCATCTCGAATGAGTCAACTGTATCTTCTTCTTCTTTTTTCCCTTTGTTATAAGATGGAACCAGTTACCCACCAACAACGTCATCATTTTGCAAAAAGAAAAAGGAAAAGCAAATAGATAATATTTACATTCTGTAGACTGTACTCCTATCCGCCAAAAGGACGGTGCAATTGTTGGCCAGCGCCGAGCCAAATGACGCTTCCAGCAAGGCTTGCTCTCCACCTCCAACGCCAAAAGGATAGTGTGTCTGTGAGACCATAACACTTTCCAGTTTCCACGCATTTTTCTGTATTTTCAGAACATTATCTCCCGATGTCCATGTATAAGAAGAACCAGGAGCAATTCATCACAAATACTGCCAAGCAACGGCCACAGCATGCACAACGCGATATCGGCTACCAGCAGCAACCATACGCATAGGGATCAGAGAGGGTTTATTGTTCAGAGTCGACGGGGTCATTCATTACTGTCCTAGGACATACACTAATCCATACATTCCCACTGGTTACACCATTGCTACAACCATGGAACAGATGTACAGAACAAGGATCTGATCCAACGGAAATGACGCAGTTTTTAACATTGCTGCTGCTGTTCTAACGCACGCCCTTCTCTCGCAGAGTTGATAGGGCGACAAGGGCGCTCGCTGCCCCAGTAACATGGCTGCTAGCATCGAGTCCTGGAACAGATGATTTACCCTGCGAGGCAGCTACCGCAGCCTGTTCTCTCTTCGGCTCCTCAGTTCCTGCAGCCACCACACACCAGGCATTATTAGCGCTAGTCAAAGCAACAAGAAATGAAGCATTAGCGCTAGCAGTTTTCAGGCACCGTACTTGGTTTAGGAGCATCATAGGCCTTTGTGGAGACACCCTCGCCTTGAGAGCGACTGCTTTCTGACATCGTATCAACTATCGCAGATTCATGGCGCTTTGGAGTTTTACTTGATGCTGGACCATCATGGCCATTTGGTGTGATACTCAGTGCTAGAGAATCACAGCTCTTGGTGCTCGTATCAGCTATTACAGGTTCATGCAACTTTGGCACTAGACCACCATTGCCTTTTGGCTTGACACTCGGTGCCACAGAATCATGGCCCTCGATCTTCATGGATGGTGATTTTCCATGGCCTTCACAGAAATGACAACCTTAATGACCCAATATTTGGTAGGCAGCAATCGTCTTGCACAGAGAGGCTTACCTGGCGCATGAACTGGAGGTATGGCAACCACTGTCGAACTGGCCTGGCATTTTACTAAATCACGAGGTGCTGGGCTAGGTGATGCAATACCCAGTGAAAGGAATTTCTGGCCTTCAGGTGTCATTCTTGGTGCAGAATTGAGTTGTTTCACGCCTGTACTTTTGGAATTTCCAAGTGACAAGCTTGGTACAGCAGATTCATAGCCCTTAGGAGTGACACCTGGAGCAGAAACTCCATGGGTTTGGGAGGTATTAGCTTGTGCTAGAGAAGCATAACCAGGACGTCCTGTGGTTGGTGTGGCAGATTTGCATACTTCCCAGCCAGGAGATGAAGAGCTTCCAGAAATTGTCTTCAAAAGGCCTTCATGAACTATAGGTGCCACTCTTCCTACAAAGGAATCTTGGTTTTTGGCACACGAGGTTGCAGAGTTTCCAGGTGGCACCATCTGTACAGGAGGACCTCTGCACCTGGGTTCTGCACTTGTAGAAGCCCCACATATGGCAACAGCAGAACTAGATGTTTCTGGCACACCACTTGGTGCCAGACAATCTTGACCTTCGGGCACCATATCCGCTGCAAGGGTATCACATCTTTTGGTGCTAAGAATTGTGGCATGTTCCGACACAGCATTTGGTGCATGTGAATCAGCATGGTTAACCCTCAGAGTTAATGAACAATCTCCACCTGCCTTATCCAAGGATAATTGTTCTGGTGCTGCCATTACAGAATCGCTAGACACTGCTTCAACAGAAGGCTTGTACCATAATGATGGCTGCAACAGAAGCCAAAAACAAAGTGACGCTAGATGCCATTAAGAAAAAAGGCACTGCACATTACTTATTTGGAATACTTAAGATCATGCCTGAGAAGAGTAAAGAAAATACTATACAACGGCTGGACAAACAGGTTATTTCAAACCATTACAGACTGCACACTCATCAAGTCCAATCAAGTGGAACAGGGGATGAAAGGAAGGATACACATGCAATGCAAGTAAACTAAACTCTGAGGAAGGCTACACACAGCTGATTTCTAGTTTTTAGGTTGACCAGGGTCATTGACAAGAAATCAACAAGAATTGGTTCATCATCCATCACAGACACAACACTTGATTTATTTCCTTTGAATTCATGGATGTGGGACTTCATTATTTGCTCTGGAAAATTGAGCCACGAACCTTTTTTATAATACATGACACGGCTAGGCGCTCCACTCTTCAGAAAATTGACACAGTTGCAGCGTTTAGCTAATGAATCGAATGAGGGTTCATTCTCAGATTTGACACGGCGAGATTTGCAGTCTTTTGACAGGCAGTCATCAACAAGCTTTCGCTTCAAGCGCAGCGAATTGGATTTGTCGGGTTCATAAACCCGGAGTCCCTCACGGACCGACTTCCCAGCAGAGGCTCGGCCCAAACTGACGACACGCAAACTCGTGGGACGGCCCATGAGTTCTAAACAACAGGCCAGAAGGGAAATTCAATCACCGACCGGAAGGTCTGGCCGAGGAGGAATGGCGCCCTTCTTCCTACTCCGGCCCACCTCACCGACCGGAGCACTCACTCCGGTATTCAGCCCACCTCCGGACGGTCTCTCCGACCGGAGGGCCTAGCCCAACGCCGCTTCCGACCCCGACCCGCGTCTCCGACCGGGGATACAGCAAACACCTGCTCACTACTCTTCTTGACCGGCGCGATCAGAACCGACTGGAACCAACCGACCGGGGACGCCCGCTCGGTATGGACCAGGGAATGAACGGAGAAAGCAAGGCAGGGCACACAAGTCAAACCGCAATACCAAGATCCGTACCCTGAGCACTTGCAAAAACAGTACTCTACAACCTCCTTGGCACGACAGAGCCTAGAACAGTGTTGTAGGAGCCGACGTCTTCCCCTACAGTATTATGGGCGCCATTAACTCCCATACGGTAAGGCCCCCATGCCTCTGGGCATGAAATGTGTTGTGGGCGCCGACTTTTACCATACCAGGAGAACATGGTAAAACTCCTCACATGCCTCTGGGCATCAACAGTATAGCCGGTGCCGACATCTTCCATACCTGAACAAGACAACGTGACCTCCCACGTGCATCTGACATCCAACAATATTGTGCGCGCCTACCATCATCCTATACTCACCGGCATGGGCAACAAGGATTAGAAGCATACGTACTCTCTCCCTCTCACTTGTAAGGCCATCCCCTTCATATGAAAAAGGGGATGCACTTTCTCCTAACATAAAAAGGTTTAAGTCATTCCAGATTCATTAGATCAATCAAGTTCACTGGTACAGAACTACTAGGTTCGAACCACGAGCACACGCTCGAACACCTACTTCGTAGCGGGGCTCCCGTCACTCTCGGCCCTTCCGGCAGGAGTCCGACCAGACCTCTTGTACCCCCCTATCCTCCTTCTCGTTTGTAACCCCACTGCAAACTTCGAGCACCTGGGCTCAGGAATAAAATCGTCGACCGACTCAAATTGGACGTAGGGCACGTAGCCTGAATCAGTATAAACCCTGTGTCATTGTGTGCTAGGCCACCTCCGTTCACAACGTACGGCAAAACTACAAATATTCACTTGTTGGTCACTTTCTGCACCGACAGTTGGCGCCGTCCGTGGGGAGGACGCTGTACGTTCAACACTTTTTTGGTCATCAGATGGCCCACTTTTCTGCCACTATCGCCATGGCGGGCTCACACGATACGATTTGCTTTGGCTCACCGGAGTTTCCCGCACTCCCACCTGCTGGGATGTGGGTTCCACCCGTGTTCGAGCCGTCCCAGGCCTTCCTCTTTGGAAGCTTGGACTTCGTCGCCGACCGGCTCGGCGTACTACACCTCCACGAGGAGGCTTTCGTTTCGGCGCCCATTGGAGGGGCGCCCTCCATCGGCTCCGAGACGCACGACGACTTCAACAACGAGGCATCTGCGCATCATTCTGAGCAAGCTCTCTGCTCAAACCCCGCTGTGAGTAATGTACATGCCATTATTTACTTGCTATTCTCTATCTTCCGCCGATTACCCAGAGGGACCCCGTTGTCCCCGCCACGGCCGCCTTGTGACCGGTCCCCTTACGGCCTCACATCTCCCGCAGATGCGTATGCCCGGGGGCTCCGAAGGATGCTGGCGCCGCCCCCTCTCACGTCTGAATTCGTGGTGATGGCGAGCTATGCTCCCACCTGTTTTCTTGACTTCATGGATGACGATGTTGACAGTGATGGCTCCAGCATCAGCGATGTGGCGCCTAGCCACTGTCCATCCCGGGAGTGCGTTATGGCGGACGCTCTGGGACAGCCACTGGTGGTAACGGAGTCCTTGCAGACACATGCCCGTCCGGATCCTCGTGCGGAGACCCCCGAGCTCACACAGAAGCACGGTGAGACACTATGACAACAGTGGCTGCACTAGCCACCGACTGTGCCAGCGCACTTGGCGCACCGCACTGCGCCCCGTGTGCATAGACCGGCAAGCGGCGCCCGGGGTCGCGCCCGTCAGGTCCAGCGCAACACCATGAACAGGGGGAATGATCCCCCACAGTTCGCCCAGGCCAATCAAAACATCGCCGCTGCGGCAATGCTTTTACGCGGCCTGCCCGAGCCAAACGACCCTCAGGAACAGGCCATCTACCGGAACCTCCGAGCACTAGTGGAGACCACCGCCATTCAACAAACGGAGAGCTCCGTATCGTGACACCGACTCACGGCCTCACTCCCCACCAGGGGAATGGGGACGCAGCATATGAGTCGCTCCACCCGCTCACCACAACAATCGCCGAGCGCGGCACAAGAGATTGCACCTGTGCCTCATCTTGACTTGACGACCGCTCCACACCGACCACCTGTATACGCGCAGCTCGGGCCAAAACAAGACACACGCAACAGTGATCAGAGTCCCAGCCCGGTGGCCCGAGACCACGGACCTTTGGCCAACACCCCTAGCGAGCGCTGCTCCCACTGCGCTCCAACGGAGGCTGAGGCAAAGGCAAGGCTAGGCGCCAGGATCAGGACGAGGGCCCCTCCACGTAGAAGGGGAAAAAGAACAGAAAAGATCGCCGCCGATCGGCCAACTCCGCGTTGGTCGCCACGATTGATCACGCGGGCAAGCAACCCCAGCAGGACCCTCCGGGCCAATTCCACGAGCTCATGGAGAGCCTGTGCACCAACCACGGCTACCCCGTCAAACACCTCTACAAGGACTGGGAGCTCCTCAAATGCCTTCTGCGACAGACTGGCGGGCCAGAGGAAGAAAAAGGCGAAGAAGCAGCGGCCAAGAAAGGGGCATAGCGGACAATGATCCAGACGACTGAAGGTTGAAGTAATCCGACCGGACGCCTACCGACTAAAGGACGACAACAACGACATCCTCACCAAACGCTTGGAACAGCTATGTCGTTTTTCTTCCCCTAAATTTTAGTCTTACCATTGTTTACTTAGCGTTTGCTCCTATAAGAGCACCACGACCCGAACACTTTTTGGCCCACGGCGCTCAGGGGCTCCACGAGGGTACACTACTACCTCTCTTTTTCGTTTACTATCATATGGTGAAACTCCTTCCTACCCAAACAAAAGGGTAGTTCGTTCCTTTAATTTGCCTTACGTAGTTTTGCTTTAAAACATTCCGACCGATCGCACCCCGCCTTTTCCTACGGTTGCGAGCAGCTGAGCCTCGCGGGCCATGCCCCGGGCTCCCAAGGTTACAACCTATGGGACAAACAGACAAGTACGAGAAAGAAAGAATAAAAAACAAAATTATGCTAAGGGAAAACTAAGGAACAAAAGGAACAAGCTTCCCCGAACGGAGTGACTCCATCACAGAAAACGAAACCGACTGTAGTCATTAAGTACACAAGAACGTTTACACGGGGGCTCCCCCACAAACTTAAACTTTTTACATTTACTAAACTACTTATACTTTACAAGCTATTGGGGCGGCTCGACGGCATCTGCTGCCGGTGCGGCCGACGAAGGCGCAGGCGGCTCACTCCTCGGCGGGATGACATTCGGCTCGATCGAAGCCAGGGCGATGTCCACCTCTGACCCAGGCTCCGTGCCATCCGCAGGCTGGGCAACGTCCTCCCGACGCATGCTTCTGGCCATGTCTTCACGGCCATGTCTTCACGGTGGATGTCCATCACCCACTGAGCAGAGACTTGCTCTGCCACCAACCTTGTGTGCGGCAGCAAGCTCTCCCCGAGCGTTCGGATGTCCTCCATGCTCAAGCCGTCAGCGTACCCACTGCAGATAGTGGCGAAGTCCAGCTTCGGGTAGTACATCGCCACTGAGGTCAACACCCCCGATGCTCTGTAGAACAGCCCACTTGTGATAAGGTCCCGGACCGCATCCGGGACCTCCGCCAGCTGGACCACGGGCGCGCTAGTACTTGGCGCTGACCCGAAGACCTCCGAGAGGACGAGCTGGGCAACATTGTGGATCTGGTCAAGTTCCCTCTCGAGAGCACGTCGCTCTTCACGGGACTTGGCCAACTCCTCTGCATTCCAGCTAAAAGTCACCTTGACCGTATCCAGGTCCCGCTCCAACAACTTCACCTTTCTGCCCAGCTCTGAAAGCAGGGAGACAAGCTCAGAAATAGGCTGAAGGAAGAAACCAACATGACGAAAAACAAAAAAGGTACATACCGACGCGGAAGTTCTCAAGGGTGGAGAATTACTCTGTCTGCCGAGCCACCAGCTCATGCAGCCGGGCGCTCACCTCCTCCGTCCCCATCACCCGGCCCAAAGCGTGAGCACTTCCTGGTCTGCCTCCGACCGGGCCTTTCGCTTTGACTCCAAGGCCTTTCGCGCCAACTCCAGGGCATTCCGCTCCAACACCAAGGCGCTCCGCTCTGACTCAAGGGCATCCAAGGATTCTTTGAGAGCCACCTCGGTGTCCACTAGGGATTTCCGCAACCCCGCCTCGGTCTCCGCCTGGTGGGCCTTCGCCGCCTCAAGACCTCGCTCGGCGGCGGTCGCCCGCTTCGCTGCACGCTGCTCCTCCACCCATACCGTGGTCACCTCGGTCGCCCGGTCTGGGACTCACGGTGGGCGGACTCTAGCTGACGCTCAAGCTAGGCCACCCGGGCATGCTCCATCCGGAGGAAGCGGGACTTGCAGGGATGACATCTCCTTCAGACCCTATGGAAAGCAAGCATGC